GTTTACGGTTTCAGTTAATCACCTTATACACATAGTAGATGTGGATGCAGTTACTCTGTAAATGTAGGGTTAGAAAATTGCGTAGTATTGTACAGTGTAAGCATACACCGATTTTTAGGGACGATATAAAATGAATAGCCATTATATTGTTATACCCTCAACACTTTCAGGAAGAGCTTGGTGCATGCGTGCCGTATTGCACTTATGTATCTGATACTATTTAGGCGTATTCCGTAAGTTATAGCATTATATTATTTGTACAATGCTCTGATACCTAATGATACTGTACTTTATCTATATATGTACTAGAATATTCTTGCGCTTATATCGAATATGGAAATTAATCGGAAGCGCCTGGGGATCAAATGATTAACGGGCGATATAATGATAGCTTTTTAGTGATTGTAGGAACTCTTGTCGTGCTTGTGGATCTGAGGAATATCGGTGCAGCAGGACGTTATAGAATCTATATTTCATGTGACGAATCATACAATCGCACCCTTTAATGGCCGGTTAAATAAACCATAAAGAAGTAGATAACGCTCTACTGCCTTGGTGTTGTCCGAGTTTACTCTGCGCCAAGTAGATCATTGTAACGGATGTGCAATGTTTAATTCAACTGATAGATCACTCTATTCAAACAATTTTGACATACATCGTCAGCCTATACATGCGACTAAGATAATATTTCATGACAGTATAGTATTTTTGTATTAGTAATACGATAAATTAATTTTAACTTATATACGATAAAATTTCATTGAAAATATTTTTATTTATGTATAAAATATGCTTAAGAGTTTCAGTACTCACTTAAAATCATCAATTACAACTAAAACTATACTTAAGATACATATATATATGCATATAGCATGTTCTTATTGCAGATTATTAGGTTTCAATAGTAGAAACAACTTACGAATGACCCAAATTTTGTTTTGATGTCTAAACATTATTATTGATACTAAAAACTTTGAACATCTATATGCTTATAAAAGCTTATCTATATATCTTGAAAATCGCAATTGATGTGGAAATTGAAAATTTAAGTAACAGAGGAATGTTTTAAGTTTGTATAATTAATATTTTTGATTTGAAATAAAAATATAAATCGTTTGATGAAAATCATATAATTAAAGTAATTAATCTTTATCAAAATGAACGTCACTCATAAAAATATATTTGGAATTGTACAATTTTTAAATTTTTAAGAAAACGTTTACAAACATTGTATAAATATTAAATTTTTATAAATATTAAAATTTTATTCATACTAATGTATTAATTTAATCAAAATAACTAAAATTATTTTTTTTGCTTTTAAATATCTAATTTACATATTTAAACTTGAAATTTTATAAAATACCTCATTATATATTATGTACGTATTCTTTTGGTAAGAATTTGTGAGAAATCTTTATTAAATGTTTAATCTTTAACTATTATTAACACATTTTAACTTAAAAATAATTTGCATGATTTTGTGAATTTATGCATATTTTAAATTAAAGTCTTGAAAAATCATACAAAATGTTAATGTATCATAGAAAAGGTAATCTTATATTTTAAAAAGAGTCAAAATATTTTGATTGATACAGAAAATTGAATAAAAACAAACAATTTTATCGAAAACTAGATAATATGCGTAAATTTTAAATTTTTCTGGTTATTTTTATAA